TTTTCTCCCAAATCTATTGAATTTTCATACTCTTCTGTGGTACTATTCTTCCTCCTGTACATTTTCGTCTACTGCAGTGGAGTATGACAACTTAAAATGATGATTTTAGTTTTGGGAAAAGTACCAATTTGAAAAATCAATTGTGATCAGTCGTTCGTTGATAAACGTTATCCCCGTTGGAAGATTCAAGATGCTTTCTGTTAATCATTCATCAAAATCTACAATGCTAATGGTTAATTATCCTGTTGGCAGGTGTTCATTTCTGTTGGTATTAGATGGTTGGAGGCAATCGGCCACAGGAAGCCTTGCCTGACCTAGGTTTCGTGCTAGTTGGCACTCACCAGTCGTCACCAAGGCGTATCTGCAATCTTGAAGAAACTCATGTCCCTTCTGAGATTCGAACGCGCGTCACCCAGGGGGGCTGCAGTGAGTCACAGACGTTACCACTGAGCTATTCACGCTTGGCGATTGACCTCCTGTAGGGACTGTGATGGATATTTTGATTTGACACTAGTAACTAGTGTGATACGTCTAGTCCTCAGATTGTTGTAGACTGAATTCTATCAGTCAGTCAGGTTCTAATGTGACCACCATTCTAGCTAGCTCGCCATCACGGTGCACATTGATTTGATGGTATTAGATGGTTGAAGGTGTTCATTTCATTTCTTTGAAACAAACATCCTGCTGAAAATCAAACAATCCACCTACCTAGATGACAGTACAGTTTTATCTCGTCTTTTTTTATGACCAGATTATGAGATCACAAAATAAAAAAAACAAGGACTTTGATCACTTCTCTTAATTATGAGTTCTATTAACCATCCTGACAAGGATTTTTTCCCAACATGTAAGCCTACGATACAACAGTTCACTTTGTTCTGCATTGTGTCTATTTGACAGTATTAATAGTATAGATATACTCTGTTGTACAACACTGTCAAGTCAATCAGCACTTGTATGTGGATCAGAGATCTGGAGCGTCCCCCGAAGCTTTTTTTTTTCAATAGACAACTGCAAAGACTTTTATCAACACAACTGGTTTCGTTCCAGTATACGTTGACCAAACAGGAAGGATTAGCAACTCGAAGAGTTCTGTGGTAGACAACTAAGTTGACCAAGAACTTGGATACAGACTCTGAGGATACCGTTGGATGATAACGTTGCGAAACAGGCTGATACTCAACTGAGGACCTGAATGAATTACAAAATGACCAGTTGAGCTTCACTTCGAATAGTAATGATCATTCCCACCATAATGCCTTACACTTCTTCTAACTCCTTAATCTGCAATTTCTTCAATACTCTGCATACTTATGCCAATGTTGGTTACAGGGGATAAGAATCACTTTCTAAATCCTTGTGTGTGTATGTATGTATGTATCTATATATGTTCACCTGTAGTGGAACAGATAGATAGTCAGCATATGAACAAAATAAAATACATTCTTTCTACTATGTTGTTACTTGGAAAAGCATACAAGCCTGAATTTACATTTTATTATAAATACTTTTAATATCTTTCGAAGAGTAGCAAGGGAATTAACTGTATTCCATCGGACAGTTTTTACTCAACAAAGTGTGTAAAGTCTTCCAGTGTTTTGGTTAAAATGTCAACAGTAAGGAATAATTTCATATACACATATATATATATATATATATATATATATATATATATATATATAACTATCATCATATGATATGATATAATGAGTATTTTGTTATAATATATGTATATACATATATACAGAAAGTGTAATAATACCCAGCAGGCAGTTGTAGAAGTAACAGTAACGCACTAGTAAGTAGTATATTGGCAGTTGACTTTGCCTCTATACGCGCGTGTATATACAGACAACATTCATCCGCGCACGCGCACACTCACATAAGCGGACGGTAGCGCACGCGCGGTTGTGTTGTACTGTACCACAGGCGGCTAAGCATTAATCAAGACGGATAGTCTCTTTTTTTATTTTTAACACTGTATGTTTTCCTCTTTGTGTCTTTGCTATCCTTTAAAAAGTAATATATTATGTCGGTAATTATTAGTACTATTATTATTATTATTACTACTACTACTATTAGTATCATCTGTTAGAAGCCTAATACTGCCACTGTGTTACTTCTATATGCATATAATAATAATAATGATAGTTTACATTGACACAGTCATTTTTAAAACCTCTTTCCTTCTTCTCTTTTTTTTTATAATTATAAAAAACAACATGATAGTTGGTTAGAGTTACCTCTAGTATAGGATAGAACAGAGTACGTACGTTGGGAACTTGTGTATTTCAGCAGTTCTTTTTATTCTACCTCCACAAACCCCACCCCCACTCCACCCCACTCCTCGTGTCACTATCACCGCTCTTGTTTTCAATCAATGGGATTTCAACTAGAATGGTGTTGATGAGAAAAAGTTAAAAAAGAGAGAAAGAGGGAGAGAGAGAAATAGAAAAGTAAAGTGAAGTGAGGAAAAAACTCATTACAAACACAAGGAGATAAGAATTCCAGTTGACCAGTAGTAGTTAGTTAGTTAGTTACTTAGTTAACACACTTGTAGCAGAAAAGCAGAAGAAATAGGAATTCAAGTGTTGGGTTGTAGGGATTTGATTGATCGGTTACAGGATTTCATCATGAGCTGACATTAGTTAGAGAACCATTGGAAAACCAGCAGGTAGAGTACTGGACAGCTGTTTCGTCAGCCTAGTTTGGGACTCTTCAGCAGTGCACGCTCACACTACGGGGTTCGAACCCAGGACCCTCTGGTTACAAGGCTAGCGAGCTCGTAAACCATTAAGCAGCGACTGGGATCCGATCCAATGGCCAGTCCATGAATTCTAACTTCTGCCAATTCACGACATAGCGCGACCTCTAGCCAATGTCTTCGGCAACTATCTGTCTTCATATCCGACCTGCTGCACTCTACTGGTCACGACTTCTCACTAAAACCTCAGGAAACTACCTACCTGAATAGGACTAGTTGCTAGTGAGCGTCTCATTGATATTCAAGTGTTGGGTTGTAGGGATTTGGTTGTTGGTTACAGGATTTCATCATGAGCTGAGGAATTGTTGGGAGAAAAGCAGTAATAGTAGTAGTCCTGTGCAATCTAGTAGTCAAATATATATATACTTACTAATGTATGATATGTTTATGTGTGTTGTAGATGAAAGGTTTTCAGTGTATGACAGAGAACACTTTAGCATCTTTTTCAGAAACTTCATACATACTACTGTGCTATACAGCGCTTGAAAGATGGGAGTCTGTAAAGATCCATTCGACGAAAATCCACATGGAATGGACTATACTTAAATTTCAATAGTTTTTGTCCAATAATCTACAAACAAGCATTGAATAAATGTATGAAGTTTTATGAAACACCGCCTCCCCTCACAATCTTTGAAGTCACTGAACTACTTCAACATCTCTTAGGTTCTGTAACTATGTAATGAACTGTGAATTAATAAGCAAAGCAATTTGTTTAGACATGAATTCGATAAAAGGACGTGTGTATTGTACGCCAGTTCTCCCTAACCTTCTTTATGGATGTGAGAAATGGACATTAAAAGTGCTAAGACCTAAAGTGGCTAGTTATCTTTGGCCACAGATGTTTGCAATCTATCTCCCATATTACGGGGTACTATATGATGAATAATATTGAGGTTTAAGTTAATGAAGGAATGTTAATCGATGAGGTTGTGTAGAGTTAGCTGACATCAGTTTAGTCTGAAAGACAATTATAGTTGATCAAACTAAAATATGGAATCAATCCATGAAGTATTTGACAGTTGATTTGAGCTATGTAGCGCTCTGTATACAACGTTGTAGAGGTTTTTCAGACTCTTAGAACCAAATGCTTCAGACTGTTTTTGATGATATGGCTCAAAATTGTTCTTTGTAATCCAAGTATTGATTTGTAGGGATTTGATTGGTTACAGGATTTCATCATGAGCTATCATCAGTTAGAGAACCATTGGGAAACCACCTGGGAGTACTGGATAGCTACCTATTTCTTTCTAGTTTGGGACTCTTCATCAGTTCGCTCCTGCCAGGGTTCGAACCAAGGCCCTTCTAGTTACAAGGCTAGCAAACTCTTAGACCATTAGCCACTAGGACTCAACCCAATGGTCCATGAATTCTAACCTCTACGGTTGTGCTATGTCGGGAATTGGCAGAAGTTAGAATTCACAGAGCACTGTTTGTTTGAGGCGAATTGCAATAGCCTCTGCTGTTTAGAGCATGCGGTGTTTCGATGATTTTGTCAATTTATTAGGCACCCGGTAGATGATTGTGGAGAAGGATTCTTCCACGCTGGCTGGCTTTGTGGCCGGCCGGTTCGCATCAGATGGTCCAATATCGAACTGTTAATCGTTTTCACTACACCTTTACTTAGCCATGCTGGGAGATGTTCCCAAGTGAGCACGAAAAATCAAGTTTCTAGAGCAAAGGCCAATATAACTCGTTCCGCTACAAGCGCAGTTGAATTGGTAGATATAATTAGAAGTGTCCAGCTAGTCTAAGTACTTCATCTTTCAGTCGTGGTAGCACCATCAGTCATGTAGAGAATAAGACGTGTAGTTCGCCAGCATTAAAAGTTCTTTGAACTGATTTTCTTAATTTCTTCGTAATTATTTCACTTGGTATATCGTATATATAAAGGCTTTTTGTTTACAGATAGTGAGTAGTCCTTTTCTGCCTTCTTTGTCATGTGTTTCTTGGTAAATTTGTCGGAATAGCTATCTTCGATCAAAGTATCATATCATACAATGCTTAATTCATGTTCAATTACTTCTTCTGAGCATATAGCTCTAACTCTGGGGCTCAGAGTCTTTACCACATTTCATTGACTGCCTATTACAACATAAATACTTTGATATCTGAAATAATAATTTAGAAGAAATGGTTAGTTGTCATGAATATTTTTGTAATTTTTCTTTTTTCGCATAATGTGTAATCATGTTATATATTTTCTGTTGTTGTTATTGTTGTTTGGTCTCCTTAGTATTCAAAATGCCATTTCCAACTGATCCACGTTTGGCTAGTTATTTCCTACCTGGTTATCCAGCAGCCATCGCTGCAGCTATGGCAGCTGTTAACGCTGTCTCCTGTTCTACATCATCACCACCAGCATCATCATCATCATCTTATTTAACAACTAGTTCACCATCCTCCTGCTCCTCCTCATCCGCAGCATCATCATCATCATCAGCGTTATCCTTATCGTCTATCATTAAGCCAACTTCATCTGTATGGAATATGCATACAACAAGTGGAATGAATTCATCATTTTGGCCAACTGGTACAGGTGTACAAACCACTGGTGTTGGTAATGGGAGTGGTGGTAGTTCATCGTCTACATCATCTGGTTATGCAAGTTCTGAAGGCAGTGGTGGAGGAGGCGGCAGTACAAATGGTTCACATTGGTTTCAATCAGCAATATCACCTGGTGGATGCTTTAACAACAACAACAGTGGTGCCAGTAATGGCGGTTTTAATTTCTCTCCATATTATCATCATCATCAACAACAACACCAACAGCAGCAACAACAACAACATCAACCTTATTATTATAATCCTCGTCAAAATAATAATAATTTCAGTCAAAAACACCCACTGTATCATCAATCGAATGATGAAGAGCTACTCACACGATTACACAGGGAATCATCACATTTTGAAAGATCATTATATTTTGCAAATAATAATAATAATCATGCTAATAATTCATTAAATATGAGAAATCTAATATTGATTATAATCTATCTGGTCACTTCTCTGGATTTTCTAATTCTCATAATAATGATAATAATAATAATAACAATGACACCGTCAAAGAGTCAACAGGTTTAGTAAGTTCGATTCTTGTATTCGTGTTATTACTATTCGTTTTAAATGATTATTCTTTTTCCCCTTCAAATTATGTTATTTGTTTTCATATTTAAGCGTATTATTTATACATTTTTTTTAAATGTAAATGCTTGTTAACTGTAAAATTATATTTCAAATGTATGCTACCGTTTACTTCTCGAGTGCATCGGTGGTTCACTAGTAGGGATGCTAGCCAATCACGTCTCATGAGTGGTCCGAGTTTAAATCCCCGCTGACACCGTACTCTCTAAAGCCTAACCACCTTAACAGGTGGTCGTAAAGATATCGGACATCACTATTTCTACTGAAACGCCAAAACTCACCCTCCACTCAGAACATAAAAGCAGGAGAAGAGAAACAATGAAAGATGACTACTACGAGTATTGCTGCATTGTTGGTTGTGTATACACTTTTAGAAAGCTCTACCTCTTTTGTCTTTTAGTTTTAAGAATGTCTGAATTTGAAAATGGAACCAGTGGTGATTATCTTCCCCCCCCCCCCCCTAGTGATCAGTTCTACTGTATATGCGTCGAATATATAGAGAGAGTTAAAGTTCTTAAGAAAATTTTCACTTGAGTGAATCTCTTCAATGACTTTACTTATTTAGTTTCATTTTTCGTTAACTAACTTCCCCTGATGCGTCAGTGGCATAGCGGTTAGGACACTCGCCGACCATGCACATGGTCGGGGTTCGATTCCCGGCCACTGGACGCACTCCTTTACCTCGTTAAGCTAGAAATAATACTGGTAAAGAGGAAAGGTTGGGCATGAGGCTAGCTAGCAACCCCATTCTGTAAAAATAAACACCACTGTCACAGAAACTTCAAGCCACTAGCTTCAGGCCCTATTTTCCACTGGGAACGTGAAGGAAGAAAAATAAATAAAATAAAAAAACTTCCCTTGATGATAATGATAACGACGACGACATGACACAGAAAATTCTATAATCGAAGAATTATCTCTTTTTTATAACCACTAACGCCCAATTTGAATTAATTCCCGACCGACTCTGCACTTCGAAACCACGCTGCTTAGCCGGCAGTAATCTGTTTGATAAAGAGGGAAGGCTGAACTTGTGAGGCTATAGTAATCCCACTTTGTCAAAAAGCAAAAACACGTCATCGCTACTGGATTCAATCCCTGGTGGTTGATGGTATATTGCTAAAAACTCCCAAACTGGGACGAAACAGTTGTCCAATACTTTCAGGTCTTCCAGTGGTTCTTCAACTGATATCAACTCGTAACTGAAACCTGTAACTTTAAGTCACATCAGACAGTAAATTCGATCGTGCATTGCGGCTTCTTCCTTTATTTCTCTCTCTTCTTATACGTTTGTTTTATGTTCGTGTATTTTTCACACCCATCTAATTGTTATTGTTATTATTATTATTATTGTCTATGCCTTTGATATAGTCTTCATACGTCTAACTACTATTATTCGTATGATTATTGCTATAATGGCTTTTGATGAAGCATTTTGAATGATACTATCATTTATGGTTAATTCAGTGATGATATTAGGATTAATAATGGTATTCTAGTCTATATGTATACGTTACTTTTGCTCTTCATTTCACCTTGCTACGAAGAAACAGTGAAGGCATAGACTGTATGCACATACACAATAGGCGTTTTTCCATGTATCTACTATTGAATTCTTAATAATAATAATAATAATAATAATAATATACACATTCAACGGAGAAATAAAAGGAGTGTATCATAATCGTGATAGTGGCAATAATAGTTATTATTATTATTAATAATAATGATAATAGTTAAAAAAGAAGGACTAAATCCCTGTTCTACCTCTCCTCTCTTGTCTCTCTCTGTCCCTCGGACCTTCATAATGCCTTCTTTATCATATCTATGTATAAACGTGCGCCTAATGACTGCAACAGCCCCGCCTCATTCTCTTCTTCTGCTTCGTTATTCTTCATTCTTCTCATTATTATTATTATTATTATACGTATTTATCCTTTAATTATGCATATAAATATATAAACACTTTTCTTTTTGAAATAAAACCAATCAAAAGAAATAGACGAAGAAAACGAAGAAGAATAAGGAGGCAAAACAAAAAAAATTGGAAACTTTTGTTGTTGTTTTTTTTTTAGAAAACGCTTTCCTGTTGTCTATTAATTTTTATATCTTTATTATAATGATGACTAAGTTTGTTTCTGCGTTATTCTCCTGGCTATTGTTATTGTGGATGTTGATTTCACTCTCTCTCCCTCTCCCTCTCTCTCTCTCTCTTGCATCATTCAGTCATTCATTAACAACAGATCGATGAGTTGGAAAAACACAGTAGTAGTGTATCTCAAAACCACTTCTTTCTCTATTCAATTAGTGGTGCATATGTGTGTATCATATTCATATTTGCGCCAGTTGTAAAATTGTCTAGGTAGAAGGCAAGTTTGTGGAGTATTCAGCCACTGGGATCCGATTTATAATGGCATATAAATTCCAACTTTTACCAATTCAAATCCTGGTGGTGTGTGTGTGTGTGTGTACTGTCTATGAGTCCCAAAGGAGACTGACGAAACAGCTAGCTAGCTAGCTATCCAATGCACCAGTACGCTTTTCAATGGTTCCTCTAATGGATATCAATCTGTGGTAAAACTTGAAAAACACATCAAATCCCTACAAACTAATTCTTGAAAATCGATCTAAGTCTAAATTATGAAGTTGCCTGAAGTTCCAGTGACCAGTATGGTCCATTGAGTTAGGAATGAGGACAATTTCTCACCAGACATATAACATTGGCTGGTGGCAGTCGCCCTAAGGTCATGAATTTTAAGGAGTTAGAATTCATGGACTAGCCATTGATTTGGGTTTCAATAGGTGAATAGTCTACAAGCATGACTTCTAACCAAAAGGCCTCGGGCTTGAACTCTGGTGGTGGGGGGCAACCACTCCTGATGAGTCCCAAACCAGGATGAAATAAAAGTCAGTTACAGAGAACAGGTTTTTCATGCATGAGGATATCAGCTGTATAAAGACGAATAAAGACTATGCAGTTGCCCTGGTCCAGCGATGCTCAAAGCCGGAAATCCAGTAGCTTAAATAAAGCAGTAATAGCCAGTGAGTCAGCGAATCTTGACAAAAATAGTCTATACCATTTTGTACGGCATACTGACTAGAGTCAAGGTAATGTGTTTCACGAGTAGGTATCTGTTTTTGTTGTGGTAGTGATTTTAGTGCAATTCTACTTCCCACTGAAATGTATTCATCACTAATAGTACTACTGCTAACATCAACAGTAGTAGGTGGTAGTAGTAGTAGTACATTGTTTATTAAACGATGACATAATATTATGTGTATTATTTTTAACTTGATAAAGAAAAAGACAGAAGTCCTGCCGAATTATAAATGAAAGATATTATATATATTCATTAATCACATATATATATATATATATATATATATATATATATATATTGGTTGTCATACTGAGATTTTTCTTCTTGTCCTCGCCTTTTTCTTGTATTCACTGTTATTCTCGTTGAATATTTTTGCTCTCTTATTTTTTGTTCGACTTTTGCTCTTCTAAAAATCACTTTATCATTCGTCTTGATGATAATGGTGACGACGACTTGTCACATTCACTCACGCTTTCACTTACTTATGGTGTAGGAGTACCTCTTATTATTAATAATAATAATAATAAAGATATTTGTAAAATAAATTAGGCTATTCCTGCATGAATTATAACATTGCCGACAAACTGATAAATGTGTGTGTATGTATGTGAGCGTGTGTGTGTGTGTGTAGAGAAACCGCTAGTTAAGTTGTATGTATCATCAGTATGAAGGAATGAATGAAGGTTAGTTAACTTGGATAATAGACAAGCTTGTTAGTCTCAATTTTCAATACACATTTGTAGTGCTTTGGTGGTTTTGGGGTGGAATAGCCTCTCGAAGCCCAGGTTCTATTCCTCGCCTACGCCTCGCTCCTTAACATCACTGCTTAACCTGTGATTAGTCCATAGTACTATAGAGACAGGTTGAGTATGAGACTAGCAACTCCATCCTATGAGAGAAAAAAACATTACTCTGAGTGCAAAAAAGGATGTAAAAAAGAATCATCGAGAACTGATTTGGGTCCCAGCGCCTTAATGATCCACGAGCTTGCCTTGTAACTAGAAAATCCTCGGTTCGAATCCCGGTGGGTGAGTACTGATGAAGAGTCCCAAACTAGGACGAAACAGCTGTCCGGTACTCTACCTGCTGGTTTTCCAACGGTTCTGTAACTAATGTCAGCTCATGATGAAATCGTGTAACCAATCAACCAAATCCCTACAAACCAATACTTGAACTGATTCCATATCAGTTTGTCAACTAGATTTATCACACAGACTGTGAAACAGTATTATTATTTACTGGATGACAAAGTTTCGAACACAATCTACAATTGTTCATAGTCATTTCATCAATTATAATCACACTACTTCGAAACTTGAATTTTATAGTTTTCTTTGTTATCTCCTATTTGTTGTAGGGGTAGTAGAATTTTTCAGATGTAAACAGAGATACAATACAAAAAGAATAGTAATATCGAAAAACCACATAGTTTTACTGGGTATTATAATTCACAAAGAGTGAATGCATCTGCACCAGCCATTGAGAACGATTTTTAGCCATATCACCAATTGTCTCCAGTCATATGTCATATACGAAACTAGCCTTCTGTATTCGTGTGCTGAGATTTCCTCAGAGATCAACCCGTTGACGCTGGCTGATGCAACTTCCCAAATAAGTGAAGTAGTCAACACGCCCAACCACCACTTCACTCCCTATTTCTAAGCTAGAATTCAATGTAGTCCAGTCAGTCCTGTAGCAGCCTCATCATCTTACATTTAGCAGGAGAGAATTCCACGCCAAACATTCGCAGATTGCTGCTCACTTAGAAGGGAGGACTATATCATCTGCATATTTCAACAAGTCAACGAGATTATTACCCCCTCCCCCCACTCTGGTAACAAGTCAATCCCTGAGTCACTGAAGTCACTTAGAGTTAAGTTCATTAGTACATCCATAATGAATTTGAATAGGCATTTAAACCTCCCATGAAATTC